ACTTGGATGAATTCATCTGTTTGTTTTGGTTTTTCCTACACTTGACTGATATTTGTGAATCAACAGTTCTTTCCCTCCCAAATAGAGAGGAATTTGGGAAACATTGGTAACTTCCCAACAAAACTGAACTGAAATAAAATTTTCCCACATTTTGAAATTAAAGGTATCCTAGTGGAGAAAAACAAAGCCCTCTTTCTTCACCATTATGCAAAGCATTTGTGGAAAGCAATGGCTGTGGGTGTCACTTGCAATGTTGTCATATACCGCCAAATATTTGCATGTAAAGTGCTCCTAGCAACAATTGGGTGGAATGAATGCTATATAAATACAATTACAATTCCTCTGTTATGGAAAGGTTGTTTAGAAATACATCCCCTCCACGCCACTCTGCTTTCCTTGGCATATTACGGCAAGCTTTACAAAAGCTTGTAATCCCTTTAGACAACAGCAGAAAGAGCATCAGCGCCTGCCAAGTCTTAAGCTTGGAACCGAATCCCCTGATGATAGGTTCAGACCTCAGTGAGGGAAGAAACAAAAAAAGAAAGAGAGAGAGAGAGAGAGAGAGAGAGAATGGTGAAAATTGGTGCATTCATTATGTGCGACAAAGAAGGGCATTTTACCACTATTTTCTCTTACATCTCATTCTTTCCACCTTCCAAATTAGTTCTCTTGTTCTCCTCTTTAGAAACAGAGTCAAAGATCCTCTGAGCAGCAATGGTGCCACCAGGAGGGTGCGGGAAGGGTAGCCCACACTGGGTGACATCCTAGAAAATGGATGACACCCTAGTTGGGCCCTTCTCCCACTGTTCACCCTCCCAGCTTCACTACACTGGCATCGGTCTCCTCAGGAGGAGGCCTCCCCTGCCATGGTGAAGGAAGAGACCCAGCACAACTCTCCTGTTGCCATAACAGTTGAATATAGCTATAACTGTGTGGTATGAATGAACCCCAAAACGAGTTCAGCACTTTGGATAGTTCCTGTAAATAGCACCTTGGACAGCTTATGGAATGGACGCACCACCCTAGTGATAGGGAAGCCACAAGCCACCACTGTTCTTCTTCTGTGATGCCACCACATATCTCACCTGGTCTAGTTTTCCCCATTGAAGGTGATGGCATAGTTTAGGAGTGGGAGATATGTGTGGCTCTCTTGACATCACAGGACTGCAACTTCCATCATGTTATGTTCGCTAGTTGTTATTGTTTTTTGAGTTGCAATCCAACAATATGAGGGACAGCAAAACATTTTTGATCTCAGGTCACAATTAGGAGAACTGTTATTTAACTCTCATGCAGATCCTTTAATTTGGCAGTTACTGGGCAAATCACCACCTATGGCTTCTTGGTCTAATGTCTCCATTACAGATCCTGAAGGTTTAAGGAAAGAAGTTGTATGCCTTTGCGAGAGCCAAAAACTGCAACTGAAGGAATAAAAAAGCCACTTTCTTCGATGCTAATCTATTCTTTCTGTGTCCCACCCTCATTTCCCCAACTGTAAACAGTATTTGTCTTCCCCAATGGGCTACTTTTCATTAGAAAACCAATGTGGAAGTTACATTTTTATTTCATGTATATCAGCAGCACCAAGGGAGGGAGCAGGGAAGGGGGAAGATATATGGGACACCGGAGAGGGGAAACAGATACCAACTTTGCATGTGGAATCGTAGGGATCATTCGTAAGACTGGCCCCCATGACAAGGGACAGCCTAATGCCTCATTAATTCCCACTGAGTTGCTGAAGATGTATCATACCCTTTCAATCTGCAACTAAGCTATCCATTAATAATAATAATAAAAAAACCTAATTTGCACATGGTTTAATGCATTCATTAAGCTATTAGGGAGAGATTTAATAGCAAATTAACAGTATTGGGGAAAACAACAATCGCTGACTGGCCAACCCAACCTTCTGCTTGGTAAAGAGGACATTGAGATTAGAGTCATGAGGGATTAAAATGTATATAGGTGCATCATCATTACCATCATCATCATCATCATCTCCCCATGGTTCTTTATTGCAGTCTGTGTTGTGTAACATTACACATACTTAGCTACATAGCAGAGTCACTACAGAACCCTCCTAGTGAATTTCAAAGATGGTTATTAGGACACTGGTAAGAGTATCCTGGTGTGCATCAGGTATTGCTATGAGGTATTGTTATTGTGATATTATTGTAGCTGTTCTGATCCCGCAAGATCACCCAGGTTTTTTTTTAAATAATAACAATAAAGGTTTGTTTTAACATTATCACATGTTAAAGTTCATTCTTAATTCATCACCTTGATTCACTCCAAAATGACAACAGACAGACAGGTCTCCTCTGGAACTATCACATCAGGGTTTCAAAACTCTTTACTTCTGCTATACAAGCCAGTGCATTTATCATAATAAAGAACTGGCATAAACATAATCACTAGTAGGCAGTTTATCAGGCACTTTAGTACAGGACCATCATAAAAACATTTTTATCTTGCAATATGACATGTATGCAAATGCAATCAGTTAATTAGCCAGTTATGTAAAAGTCATCTGCTTAATCAGCAAAAAGATCTTTGGTTTGCAATCCTGAAAAATACAACCCATAGACAGGTTGCATCTCATCTGTAGCTTCAAGACAAAATCCCCACCATAGCCTTCACATCCTTTGAAGAGGCTGAGTTGGAAGGTCAATGTGTTTTCCTTTTATTGGGTTGTTGTGGTGGGTTTTTAAGTATTATTATTTTTCCCTCTGGCAACTTTGGAAGTTTTTCTTTTCCAAATGAACCCTCCGAGTTTGAGCTGAAAATATCTTCAAGGGATCCAAGAATGAACTTTGATTTTTTTTTTTTTTTTAGCCAAGCATAAGGAGCTTCACAATCAATATCTCAAAGGTCTGAGAAATCATAAATATAGATTGAATCGATATCACATATGTGTTTGCATCCACCCACAATGTCATTTTAAGACACTAGCTTTAAGAGAATGAATGACCCCGTTTGCAGATTAACACGCTTCATAAATAAACAAAAATATTTGAAAACACACAGGCACACACATTTTTGTTTACAGGTAAACATTTTTGTTGGACAGGTAAAGATGGAGGTCAACTATGGAGGACCAGATGTGGCAACTTCTGGAATCTATGGTCCTCAGGTTGTTCTATCATCATTGAACACTGACCTAGTTGGCTGAGGCTTCTAGGAACAACGGTCCTAAAGCATGTGAAAACTCTTGTTTTCTCCAGCCTTGGTGTACAGAATTATTATGTTGCTCCTGTAGAGCATCTAGTCCAACTCTTCACTTGATATAGTAAGTCTACAGCTAGGGAATTGACAAGGAATGTGTGTCAATTTTTGCCTAAAGTCCCATAGTGAGTCAGAATCCTCCAATTGTCCATATTACTTATTGCAGGGATAGGCAACCTTTCCCCTTTAAGGGCCGAGGGACTTCAGCTCCCAGAATCCCAGGAGCTATTGGTCAACATGGGACTATTGGCCAACATGGCTGAGGCTTCTGGGAGCTGAAGTCCCTCGGCCCTTAAAGGGGAGAGGTTGCCTACCCCTGACTTATTGTAATCAACATTGTCTTATATGTGAAATGTGTCTTTTTTTCCTCCATAACATTCAACCATATCCTTTAAACCATAAGCTTTTCAGTATAGTCCTTCTCACTCTTGCACAGGGGTAGGCAACCTTTTCCCTTTAAGGGCTGAGGGACTTCGGCTCCCAGAAGCCTCAGCCATGTTGGCCAATAGTCCCATGTTGGCCAATAGCTCCTGGGATTCTGGGAGCTGAAGTCCCTCGGCCCTTAAAAAGGAAAGGTTGCCTACCCCTGTTTGCAGCAGAGAAAAAGTCTTTCTATTCTTCTGTGTAACAGGCCTTTAGATAGGGGTAGGCAACCTTTCCCCTTTAAAGGCCAAAGGACTTCAGCTCCCAGAATCCCAGGAGCTATTGGCCATCATGGGACTATTGGCCGAGGCTTCTGGGAGCTCTTAAAGGAGAAAGGTTGCCTACCCCTGCTTTAGATATTTAATCATAGAATCACAGCACTGGAAGTAACTGAAATGAATTTCTCATCCCTTTCTAGCCCTGGTTGAAGACTCCAGAGTTACAAACACAGAACGATTGTCCAGATGCAAGGCCTGAGAGAAGTGTTGGGTAGGGTTGTATGAGTGTTATAGGTTTGTGGGATATGGTGTGTGTTTTATTAGACATTCTTCACATTTTTCAAGCTCCAGGGAGAGTCAAAGAGCTGTAATATCATCCAAGCAATCCATCTTCTCAATGTTCCTTCCAGATGTCATCATACATTGAGAACACAGTCAGCATGTTCCCTTTATGCATGAGTAGTAAGAATATTATTTTCCTTCCATCCCCATTGCTGTAACCCCCCCTTCCCTACCATGGAACCATTTTGGATTGAATGAAATGCAGATTTCCTAGCTGTACCTATAGAGCAGAGGCCCTTTCACACTACAAAGTTATAGCAATATGATTCCACTTTAACTGCCATGGTTCCATCCTATGGAATCCTGGGATTTGCAGTTGAGAAAAGGATATTCAGAATTCACAGCCCGATAATTCTAGTGTCTAACCAAACTAAACATTGCAGGATTCCACAGAGTATAGACATGACAGTTAAAGGTGAATCATAATGCCATAACAGTGCAGTGTGAAAGGACTCCAAAGAAAGCTTTTGGTCAAAGTCCTACATGGAAGATAATTTTACAGCCTTTATTGTACGAGAAAGGAAAGCTGAAATGGAGTGGAAGAGCAGTAGCATTCTCCATGCCTCAGAATATTTCCCCCAGAAAAATAACTAGTTACAGGAAGTTACTCATCCTATTGATAGCTTCTTATTGTGTTGTTGTTGCTGCTGTGTTCCTTCAAATCTTTCCAACTTAGGCGATCCTAAGGAGAACCTATCATGGCATTTTCTTGGCAAGATTGGTTCAGGGGAGGTTTGCCATTGCCTTCCCCTGAGGCTGAAAGAGTATGACTTGGTCACCCAATGGGTTTCATGGCCAAGCAGGGAATTGAACCTTGGTCTCCAGAGTTATAGTCCAATACTCAAACCACAACACCACACTGGCTCTCATTGATAGCCTCAACTATTCGTAGTTTCCAGGCAAGTTCACCTTCTTTTGGGCTGCCAGCTGTGGAAAAGCCAAAGATTTTATTTAAAAAAAAAACAGAAAAAAAGATCAAGGCAACTCCTGTGAGACCTAGCCTGGTGCATTTCAATCCCATTTTCTCTGTGCTCTCAGCCTCTGCCCTTTTCCCAGCTGTAGAGGTATTTGCATGGCTCAGAACAGTTGACGAGAGTCAATGAAAAATGGTGTGGAAACGCTGATAAATCGCCCTAAATGAAAGCAATTTTAGCAAGGGAACCCTGAGGCTGTCTGCGAATCTATTTCTTGTAGACTAGAGCGCACCAAAGAGAAAGTTCGCCTCCACAGCAGACTCCCAAAAGACAGAGTGATCACATAAGTGCCAGCAGACAGAGAAAAGCACTCTAGTTTTGCTTCTCTGGTTTTTCCCAGATTGGTCTAAAGAAGTATGAATTCTCACAATGTACATCTTTGGAGATGGCTGAGTTTTCCCTTTTATTGTCACCTCCATGTCCCCTTGCACCATTTTTATTGGTAAGGGGCTGTTTGTAGGGATTTGGGATTTTGCTATGGCTGTTCTTGAATCCTCCCCTTTAAATGGGAGTGGGTACAGCTTGCTAAGATGGCCCTGTAGTTTGAAGAACAAATGATTTCTCCTGATTTTTTAAAATTATTTTTGTTAAAGTTATAGTTGTTCTTGTTGTGTGCCTTAAATAGTTTCCAGCTTGTAGTGACCCTAAGGCAAACCTATCAGAGCCGTTATAGCTCTGTAACCTTAGGTTATTAATCTCTAGCTGTGCTACTGAATACCAGCCATTTTCTTCAAGGTCAGACAGACAGCATGGTACAGTGATTTGAGCATTGGGCTGTCACTGGAGAACAAGGTTCAAATCCCTGTTTAGCCATGGAAACCCACTGGGTGACCTCGGTCACACTTTCTCACATTCAGAGGAAGGCAAAGGCAAATCTCCTCTGCACAAATCATTCCAAGAAAACCCTGGGATGGGTTCACTTTAAGGTCTTTATGACTTGGAAACATCTTCAAGGCACACTACAACAACACAACAATAGTGCTATAGTGCATCAGTAAGTATAGTATAGTGGTTTGAGCATTGGACTATGACTCTGGAGACTAGGGTTCAATTCCCACATGGCCATGAAACCTATTGGATGACCTTGGGCAAAGCACATGCTCTTAGCCTCATAGGATGACAATAGTAAATGCCATCTGAACAAACTTTACCAAGAAAACCTTGTGATTGGTTCACCTTAGGGTCACCATAAGTCAGAAATTACTTTAAGACACGCAACAATAACAATAGTCAGAGTGCAGCTTAAGAGCCAGCAGCCCCCAGTCCACCATAAAAGCCAGCAGCCATAGTGGGCAAAGGATGTCTATTGAGCTGGCAATAGGGATGCAACATGGCCTGAGATGCCTCTAACCTGGCAACCCTGTGCACCTGTGCTAACAGTGACACCTCCACATACCCAAAAAAGCCACCTGAAAGAGACTCTCTCCTTCTCTGGGAGAAAATGTGCTGAAACATTCCCTCAATTTATTCACTAAGCAAGGAGGGGGGATTTCAAGAGGCCTTTGGACACACAGTGGTAACTTTCCAATAGGTAATAATATCTATCACATGGCACACACACAAAAAAACACCACTGACAAATGGGTTTCCTGCTACATTAATTCTCCTCTCTCCCTCCTTGTAGGTTCTTCTTTACTTCTGGAGAACGGCTGGATGGATGAGGAAGGGGGAGCAGGTCATGTGGAAAGAAGCCTGTAGCTGTCCAGCAGAGAGAACCAGCATGGAGGAATAATCAGAAAGAAAATTATGAGTTCATTCTTAGCACTTAACCTGTTTGGACTCCAGTTCATTTAATTAACCATGGAAGCATGAGGTGACAACCTTTCCAGAGAACAACAAGGTGCCAGGAGCAAAAAGAAAGCCTTTCCAAAGAGGATGTGGGTTCTTGAATACACCTGGCTATTCTCTGGGCAGACATTTTGGAAACATTTGACTCATGGCCCCAACTAAACATCCAATGTAGGAACCAAAACTTCCTGTTTTGTAAAAAAAAGAAGAAGATATGGTGAAAATGTCCTCCATAGTCCCTAGAGGATGTTGGAGTGGGGGGATTTGGGAGCAAATATGCATTTTTTTCCCAGTGGGAGTTGTGCTAGGGATGCTGCCCCCAAGGTCTCTTAGGAAGCTAAGGTGGCCTCCTAGCCTCCCACAGTTGCCCACCTTGGTATATTGTACAAGTTCCCCATCAAGAACTAGGATATAGCTGCCTGTTCACCCCCCACAAAAAACCCTCACCATTGAACAATTGAAGCCATCCCCAATAGGCATTTCAAGGATGAGAAAAGTACCTGGCTATGTCTCTGTAGATGTAGACTGCTTATATTGTCCACCAAGTCCCCCTGCATCCTCTGGAATCATAGAATCATAGAGTTTAATCTTCCTAATGTTAAGGATGAACCTCTTTTCTTGTAGTTTGCATCCATTGCTCTTGAGCAGCAGAAAACAAGCTTGCCCCTTCTTTCACAAGACATCAGTTCAAATATTTACTCATGGCTATCATGTCACCTCTGAACCTTCTCTTCTCCAAGCTCAACACCTATCTCCCTAAGGTGGTCCTCATAGGCTATGGTTTCCAGCACAGAGACAGTGACTTCTCCAATTTCCCCCTCAAACTCTTCTCCAGCCATGGAAGAGCAGTGATTTGATGGTGAGTTGATAGGGACAGTTTGGTTTGTTGCAGAGGATGGAAGAGAATACAAATCTATGCAGTGGCAAAAGGAAAGATATACCTAAGTGTGAGGTGGACTTGCTTCTGTGAATGCCACAAAGAGGATTCCATGCCTTTTGCCTTCCCTACTTCTGACAAGTTCATGAGAAGAGGCATTCAAGGAGTGCATCTATAATGCAAAAGAAACATTTGGAGCACACTTCCTGGGGGATTAGCACTTCAACGGCAGCTACGTGTCGAGATGAGGCAACACGTCTTTATTTACTGTGAAGATTTGCTGTGTTCAACAGTGAGTACAAGGCAAGCAAAGAGCTCTGCTGGAACGGAAATGGTGTCTTTGTCAGGACGGCGTGGATCTTCCATTTAATTCCCTCAAAATCTGTCGCAATCAGACTGGGGTTTTTTTTCCCATCAGCTCACTATGGAGCATGACAGAGAGAGTGAGCAGAAGCATCTCCAGCATTTTCCGCTGCTCTGTGTTTCCCAGCATTGCATCAAACTGGCATGAAACCCCCTTGGGAGGAGAAATTTACTATAAGTCATGTCGGGCTCAGGCACATTAGGTTTATGGATATGATGGACTGAATGCTGAAATTACCATTTGCACAAATGATTGTGCTGTTCCTGCAGGCTTAGTGTGTCCGTTTAATACCCCAATCTTTCAGTTATGAAGCAGAGATCAGTCAGAGTACTTGAGGAAGAAGCTTTTTCATTTCTTCTTCCCTCCCATGCTTGTCATTCCATCCTTTTTTGTAACAGCCAAGTTGGGCAAGAAGAAAATCAGCAGCCCATGAGCTATGTGGGCTGTGGTAATGAGAGGAGAAAGGAAAGCAGAATCATTCCCCAGTCATCCTCATCATCATGAAAGCTCTTCATCAAGCATAAGAGGCAATAAGTGTCATTTACCATGAGCAAAAGCAGTGGTCATTATCTTGGATGAAGACATTGACCAAGAAAGAGTTGCCACTTTAGTTAAGAATAAATGTTTTTCTGTTTGTTTGTTGTTCTAGACTAGAGGGTTGTTCTTCTCTGCATTCCACTCCCATATTCCACTTTTTCTGTATTTTGGCTCTCTCTTTTTCAATGCTTTTCTTTGCATTCTTTTCCTCAATCTCACTTCTACATTCTGCTTTCTTGGATTTCTATTCTCCCATTCCTTTCTTGTCTAACATGCTTGTTTTACTTTTCACTGGTCCCACTTCTATAGTCCTTTTTTTCTGTATCAAGAACTGGAGAATCTAAAGTCTCCCCACTCCCTCTTGGAAAAAGATAAAATTCTACAAAGTAATTTTCAGTGGGGAGTTTCTTGCAGAGGGAAGAGGATGTCTTGGAAAATTTCCAATTAAAAATATCTGCTGAGAAATGTGGAGTCAACTCTACGGGAGTTCTGTAAATTGTTACTCAGCTCTTCTTCAAGTAGGTGATGTCCCCCTTTCTTTCTCATCTACCTTGGGCTCTTAGGATCTGGAAATGTATCTGCCACTCATTTCTCTCTCTGTTGAATCTACTTGTTTATATCAAAGTGGAACCTGATGCTCAGTGGGCTATTTGTCATAGCTGTGGCTTGGTGCATCCAGGTAATCCATGCACACCCAAAGCCTGTTGTGCATCAATATTTGCTAATGGAGCTTCTCATATACAGATAGTGTTTTGCAATAAAACAGATAATGGAGAACACTGCTTGACCCTGGCCAAGCAGTTAGCAGAAATCACACTTATCAGGCCTACTGCATGAAGCCTGGAGTGAAGAAGAAAAAGATTTAGAAGAGCAGAGGAGAGACAAAGACAAGATTGGAGGATGGGGCACAGTGATGTATAAGTCTAAATTTGTAAGGGAGTCATGCAGTATTCTCTATGTTATTAGACTTCAAATCTCAGCAGTGCTAGCCAACATAGACAATGGTGAGGAATGCTGGAAGCAGCAGCCCAATGATCTCTGGAGGTCTGCATGATACCACCCCGTTTTAAATAAGCAGAGATGGGATGAGCAGCAGGGGAAGAGAAGACAAATGGAAGATAAGGCTACCCATGGATATTAGTCATGATGGGGACATGCCTCCTCAAGGTTCATACTTATCATGAGTGTTGGTCACTGGGTAACAAGAGCAGAAGATGGCCATTAGCCCCATGTTCTGTTGGTGACCTTCTTAAGAACATTTGTTTCCATAATTAATCAAAAGCTGAACACTTTTCTTTAGAAACCTGAAGAAGGTCACCATACA